ACATGGTTGGGCTGCTCCAGCTGTGGCTGTGAGGATTCTGGAGACAATGGCATTTGTGGCTGTAGTTGAGGAGATTTAACTAGCTAGCTGCAGTTCCAAAATATCAAGAAGGCAAAAACCTGCTTTCTCCTGAGAGGTGAGATGCCTCTCAACAGCCTTGGTATGTCAGAACTGCAGGCTCTCCCATCTTTAGACTCCAGAACTCATGTGCAAATGCTGGACATAAAATACTTTAACAATGAAAAGCAGTTATGTGAATCACTCACTTTACATATACTATATTTAAGGCCTGTTTGGCCAATATCACAACTAGACCCTTGCAATAAGATGTAACTCTCAGAACCCCTGTGTTGTATTAAACTTTGTTATCATCGAATTTTAAGAAAACAACAGACATCTCAAAATAAAATAAAATAAAGTCATGCATTAATTGATCAAGATTTGTACCAAGTAAAGGCTGTCTTGGTGCTAAGACAATGGCATCACTTGCAGATGTGAACGAGTTTATAAGGAAAGCAACTGCTTCCTTTATTCTTTACTTTTTATGAAAGACTGAAACTACTATCATGTTTGGAACATCTAATTTCCTCTATTACTTTTAGAGAATACATACACCAGTGCTATTTGTCTGGTTACCAGATCAGCAGAAATTTCTGGGCTTCTTTGCTTATTGGAAAATTCTGTAATATTTAAATTACTTTTTAGGGTGAGAACTCATGAGACAAATTAACACCTGAGTTATGAAAAGGCAGCACTACCAATCTTTTTAGCAGTATACTGCCTTTTAGAGCCTCTTTATGGAAGGATGTAGATTAGAGAATTGTGAAGCTTCTTCTCCCTAGGAGTGAATGTTTCATTTGGCCATCTTTTAGTGATTTAAAATTCAAACATCTTCCTAAATCTTGTTATTATAAATATTTTCTGCACAAGATATAAATGGATACAATTAAAACTTTTATTTGCTGATGGAGGTACTTATTATTTTTTGTCCCACACATAGACTCTCACCCCCACATGGAAACCCCCAGAGTAGACTGTGTACTGTGACATAATTTTATATCTTTATGAATTAGAACAGATAAAGTTCTGCTGCCTGCCTCTTGAGACCCTATGATGACCTAAGTCAGGTTACCTTGAATGTTCTATTTTCATAAGTGTCTACATTACCTAATCTGAGCCTATTTGTCAACTTGTCCTTTGATGTCATGTTAATGACAAAATAAAATATACTAAGAAAGAGTCCTTCACAAGTTCAAAGTGGCTCTTGAAAATGTAAGTTGGTGTTACTTGGGAAAGACTTTTGTAACTGCTTATCACCATACTGTTTATCTTTGAAATGAAAATTACTCCATTGGTGGCATTGCTAATACTGGTTTTCTTTGGAGTTGCTTGTATATTTCACCTTCTGGATTTTATTTCCATAACAAATGCTGTAGTCATAGCTCCGGTCCTATACCATGATTATATATTTGGGCTTCTGTTGGTGGGTGTAGGGCAGGGGATGACCCTGGGACCTCAAGCAACTCTTGAAATGTCAAATAGGGAAATACATCTCAACTTCCTAATAAGCTACTAATAAATGTATTTTGAAAATGGATCATTTTAAAATTGATTCTTAAAACTGTGTGTGTGTGTGTGTGTGTGTGTGTGTGTGTGTGTGTGTATTCTACAACTAATAATAAAAATAGCTAGATGCTGATTATGTGTAAAGAAAGAGGTTCATCAGTATTGTGTGTTTTAACAACGTAAACCAGCTGGCCCTAGCACGCATTGTGCTCTCCTCACACCTGTGGGCAGTTCTTCAGATGATGCAGCTGAAGGTGGAAGCAGGGAATCCTCAAGCCTCAGGCTTAGCTGACAACTTCCACTGATGAAAGTCCAGGTGTGTTAGCTAAAAATGGAGGGCCTGATTCTTGAATCTCACCAGAAATCATGAAGGCAAAAGTAGTTTCTTTATACAAAAGAATTTGATCGGACACAAACCAGGCTAGTCAAATCCTTAGCCCTGTACTGAAATCACTTACCATTTGCTGGCACAGCCACACCAAGACTCTGCTATCATGGATCACTCACCACCAAAAATCGAATGAAAAAGAATGCAAAGACAAGCCCCTAAAGAGTTACACGATGATCCCAGATGCCTTGCCTTCACTAGAATATTTTAAAACATGTATCCTGTGCCCTTTCAGGAAGATGTCTACTCATGGGTCCCCACTGTCTGATGAAGCAGATAGTAACATAGTGGAAGAGAAAGGTATCCTTGTAGACTCAGTAAGAGACATGTTTGGTGCTTTGTAACACTTGCAAGGTACTGATTTATATTTGCTAAAGGGAAAATGGTGTCTATTAAGCAGGGGTGGGAACAACGAGCCCAAACAAATTTTAAAAACCACATTGAATGGAAAGATGCTGCAATAAGAACTAAAAGGAACATTTAGATTTCAGACACAGTCGAAAGCTCTTTGAGTGCCTGGAACAAATGACTGGTGTGGGTACAAAGCAGAGCTTGAAAAGCCACAAACCTGATTCAATACCGCTCAAAGGTTCTACTTGGGAAAACAAAAATAACTCCATCTACTAGGCAGGTAACAACACAGTATAGGTAACATATGTCTCTGTAGGAAAGGGAATTCATAATACATCAAATACTTTAATGTCTTAGCAAAGAAGTGTAAATTAGATCACTACAGAAATATGATTGCACCTCTATCAAGGACAATGTGCAGATGAATCCCATTGCCCTGCCTAGACAAGATAAGGAAAGATAAGCTAAGCCATACTACTTGTGTTACATTGAAAATAATTCTTTTTGGAGCTTAAACTATAATGTATTAAGCAAAGGCTTTAAGTTCTATAATACAGTAACTCTACCTAGAGGATGTTTCTACTTTAACTTAAGAGACAGCAGCATGTAGAAAGATGCCTCTGTGCCAGTATTATGTGCAATGGCAGAAAAAGAGAGTATTCATTAAACAAGAAATTACTAGGCAATGGGAGACTCGTGAGTTGCAACTTTAAATGGTACATAAGGCAGATGATGGAAAAGCATGTCTTATACGCTGATATAACAGAACACATGAGATAGGGTAATTGAAAATACATTTAGTTCTTAAAACTGATGCTGAAGTCCAAGGCCTAGTTGCCTCCATCTTGTGTGTGTCTTCTGGCTGCATGATCTACTGAAGGGATTTGGGCAAGAGACCAGAGAACTAAGGGGGTCAAACTTACTGTGACAACCCATTCCAGTCAACTCACCCACTTCCACAGGACACACCAACTACTATTAAGACAGTGTATGCACTAATAAAGCAATGTGCAGACGTGTAGTGATTGATAGAAATCGCGGAAAGATTCTACATGGAAAAGATGGGCATGTAAGGAGAAAATTCTGAATAATGTCCATTACTAAATCACCTGTAATCATATTTATATCTTTTGAAAAGGCAAGTCCTCACCTGAAGAGAGCCCACCCAGCCTCCGTTGCTCTACTCAATGACAATGGAGAGCTCACTTAAAAGTGAGAGGCAGAGGGAAGCATCAAGGGATAAGGAATTTTTTTCCTGAGGAATAATTCAATAAAGGACAAGCCAGGCTAAGTGCTATGAGATTTTCATCATTCATCTAAATTCCATTCTTCTAATCGTGCATCTGCATTATTAAATATGCAGATGCTATGTTAATGTGAATTAAGCCTGCCTCTCCTTCTTAGACCCACATTCTTGTTGCTAATAATATTTAGACATCCCCTTTACCCAATAAATAAAGATGCAGTAAAGCAATTTAAGTAGATACTACATTGTTTAGCTATTTCTCACTTTTATGTTAAAAATAAATGTTAAAAATATCTTGTATAACATTTGATTAACACTGAATTTGTCCTCTCAGTGGGAACCTGACTGCAAACTTCCTTGTTTAATGTTTCCTGCAGGTGTGGATCTGCTTGGCGTCCTCTCTAGCTGCCTGAATTAGAATTACTAAAGGATTATTTTAGGAACAGCCTTCTGTGGAAATTTAAATTCCAATGTAAATTGGCACATATTTTATCATCCTGAAAAAAAAAATCTAAGCAAGTCCTTCATGAAAAAATGAGTAAAATTTATATGAAATTCTCATGCTATTCTGCAATAATATAAAAATAAAACAAAATTTTCAAAACGTTTTAGATTTAAATTCAGTTATTCCTGCTTGTCTCCAACATGAACACCCTCACTGTATGAAGCTGCATAGCACCACTGACAGTACTTTGCATGGACTAAGAAACAAATAAATGTGAATATGTAACCATAACCTCCAAAGTTTAAATGACACAGTACCAAGAAAGTATATCCTGTAACAGTTAAGCTCCCTATCCAGGTTAAAGGGAAGACTAAAATTCTACCTTATTATCTTCATCTGTAAGGTTTCACTTCCACAATAAAATGGGAAGAGAGGAGCAAGTGATGATGAAGTGGTACTGGATTGGCATGCTCACTCCCATTGGAGGCTGAGTCTGATGCACCTGCCTTGGCTGCCCCAGAGAGCACAGCTGGCATGACTGATCATGGAGAGCGTATCCTGTCGTCTGAGCTCCTGCATCATTACTTTTCTGGCCATGGGAGGAAGGCATTCCAACCCCAAGGACCATCCATCTCAGGGCACTTGGCCTCTAGGGATGTGAGTAAATGAAGAAAAGACTATCTGTGCAGGACCCTGAGAAAAGTGCTTCTGGGCTATTTGAGTTCAATTCCAACTAAGGAAATTCCTACAGTGAATAAGAAAGATAAAATACTAATATGGTGATATAAACATGAGAAGAATACAAATCTGAGCTTTCCCAGTATAAATAGGGGATTATGGTAATTAGTTTGTCTACAATTACTAAAACCACAAGAATCCAACCCAGGAAACATCTCAAATTGTACCTCAAACACATCTCAGTCCTTTAACCATTTCTAGTTTCAATCCAGTCACATTAAATATGGGACAAGAGAAACGCCAGCAGGGCAGAGAAGTTCACCTACCGGTGCACACCACTGCTGCACATGATGACATGACAGGCACCGAGCCTGTCGC